TGCAAGTAAAAAAAAAAAAGAAAAAAAAGGCTGCAACACCCAAAATCTAGGCATGCTTGAAAATATTATTTTTAAGTATATTTTACATTTTCTAACATTTAATAAAACAGAAAATATTTTTCATAATCTATAAAAAATATATATTTTTCATTTCTAATAAGTGCCAAACGAAAATTGTTAATGTTGCTATACTATCACCTTCACAGCCACACTGCCACTACCGCCACCACTTCCACCTCCCGCCACTCCATTATCACCAATATGATCATTAATACAATAAATTCAAAAACACAACTAAACATTAAAAAATATGTTTTGATTTTTTTTTCTTTCTTTTGTTTGGGAGTGAAAAATGTATTTTGTTAAAAAAATATTTTCTACCAAAACAAGCATAATTAAATAGGACTACGATAATGCTACGTAACTCAAATTTTGTGGCTCAAAAGTGGCTCAAATGGCCAAAACGACGTCGTTTTGAGTACAGAACAACATAAAAATGGCCAAAACGACGTCGTTTTGACCATTTGAGCCACTTTTGAGCTATAAAATTTGAGGTACGAGACATTTTCCATAGGACTAATGTATGCATAACTGAAGCTAAAAAGGCAGTTAAATTTTAGAACAAACAACCCGTAATCTGAATGATCACCAAAGAGTGGGGATGAACATATCCAATTCTTTATTCACCAAATTCAAATTTAATGAACTCCAATCAGTCTATCAAACCTGCATTAAATCAAGGGTGAAATAAATTTTTCATCAAATTATAAATGAATCAAATCCATCACCAAATTTCAACGATCATATTTTTTCCTCTACTTTTTTAACTAAAAAATAAAAAACTACACTTATATAACACATCCCAAACAACTACCAAGTCTAATGAAATTTTAAAAAGTTTGGATATAGTTTTCTTTCTTAAAAAGTTTTCTTTCACAAAAGAATGTTCATAAGAAAATTTTAGGATAAATTGAGATTTTTTTAAAAAGATATGATAAAAAAATGTTAAGATTGGAGCACTCAGCTTTTAACTACACCGTCACTCAAAATTGATAAAAAAATAATAATAATAATAAATAAATAAATAAAATAAAAAAAAGAGCAAGAGTTGGAGATGGCCTAATGCACGCACATAAGATAATTTATAAAAAGACATTCAAATTTTGCATGGATCAAATAATTCATCAGAAAGAAGAAAGCCCAGAAATTCGTCGGAATTTTTTATAAGAAACCCAGAACACATATTGCCAGGCCCAAGCCTTGCCCATGTCGGAAAGAACCCCTTCCAAAGTGGTCTCAATCCTTCAGCTCTGACAGTCTTCACAAGACAATCATAAGAGTTTCTATATTTAACCTTGCCTTCCTCACTCACCGTCTGATTCATCATTCTTGTCTTAACTACATCAGCCGGACAACTCAAAGTAGTTGCTGAAAGACCCGACATGACTGAGGCCATTGTGTGGGCATAAATGTTGCCACCGGCGAGTTAATTTTGAATAATAAAATGTTTTGCATGATCATAGCAAGCTAATCCTCCAAAGCCTTCTGTTCGTAAGATCTTATTAAAAGCATCAAAAGGGACCCGAGTACCTGGGTTGGAGACCTTGGCTCACCATACTGTTGGGTATACCTCCTTATTGGTGTGTGGGACCCAATTGATTTATTAAAAGAGTTTCAATTTGGCTTGATTTAGGTATAATATATTTTTATATATTATATTTGTGGAGGCCCAATTCAATTTGGGTACAATTAGGTTTTGATTACAAAACCCTAGATTAACAATATATATATATATATATATATTGGTTTATGATTTTTGCTTGGTGTGATCACAAGATAAAAAACGGCAGCAGCAATTCCTTTTCAGCCTCGGTAACAGTGCCAATTAATTTGCTTAGTTCATTATGAGTTTTGGAATTTTCTTTCGGTGCATGCTTGTTTGGGTGTTTTGGTGAAGCTGATTTGAATTGTTATTTTGGGTCTTCTTCAACTCTGGTTCTGAAGATTTTGGTTCATTTATTTGGTGAGGTCTTTCGTCTTTGTTTATTTGTGATTATTTGGAATTCACCTAAGGGTGGTTTTGTGAGACCATTAGTGTCTCGTTTGTAATCGTTTGGAACTTATTTGGTTGATAGTGGAATCGGATTTCGATCCCGTGGACGTACCTCACATTGAGGGAACCACGTAAAAATTCTTGTGTTGCCTTTGATTTAATTTTTCCGCATTAGTTTTTATTCCCATTGATTAATTTACTTGTGGAGAATCACATCGATTTTCCCTAACACATACGACCATCTGCTTACATCCTTTCCTTAACAAGATCAGCACGGCTTTCGACTACCTGTACTATTAGGGGTAGGCACAAATTATGATACTTTCCAAACTTGCATAATAGCAAAGACAATGACTAAAATAAAATAAAAAAAAAGGCAGAGCTCAACCACTAGACCAATAGGTTTCAGTAAAATGATCACTGAACGAAACTGAAAAATAATGCATTCAACGTGGCCATTGCATGGATCTCTTTGCATCAACAACCGTGAACAGTTCATCAGCTTCACCTACCAAAGCATGTCAAATTTAAGACAAAGGGAAAAGGAAGATTGTTTGCGGCCAGTTCTGAAGTGTGTACTTCAAAGTGCTGACAGAGGCATTGAAGAGAAACAGGAAATTTCAGAAAGAAGATTGTTCTCACCAAATCTCCATGGGAAAACTCTTCAGATATGAGCATCAAAAGCATGAAAAAGTAAAATGCATGCAGTGGTTCAAGACAGGGAGGCATGAATAAACTGTAATATGCATCACAATGTTTATGAGTCAGAAAATAATTCAAAACTTAAGTTCTTCTACAATTCTGAATTATTTGAGAAAACATGATAAAAAGTATGTGACCCAACAATAAGGACAAGGTTCAACAATAATTCCAGGAATAACATGAGCACCATAAACTAGCATACATGGAGTTACCTAAAGCCCCAGCAAAATTATGTAGAGCAGGGGGAGGTGATCTATAGTACTCTGTTACTTAGTAACGAGATAGCTTGTTATGTAATAACACAAATGAACTTTTCAAACCAACTCTTGAAATGTTTCATTACGAAATTGGTTTAGGGGAAAAAAAAAAAAAAAAACAAAATTCATAGTAGGTCTTTATACTCAGCAGGGAACATTCATGTTCCAGGCCTAGCTGTAGTTAAATCTACTAATCTTCAGCAATATAAGTTCCAAATGCATCCTCAAACTATGAGGACGGGTACCGGAAACAAAGTGGGAAGTAGAAGTATTCTTAAATTGAATAAGTAGCTTGCTTTCAGTTAGTACGGTTTTTAAGATGTATAAATAAACAAACACGTGCTCATAAGTGCCCTTCTGTGTAATTCGCCAAACTTAAAAAAGAGCAGAAATCTCCAAACTGACAGATAGAATAGAAAACAAAGCTTCCCCCAGATAAGATTCTTAGCATTCATGGCAGAGGCATTTGACTGGAAATTTGAAAAAAAATGAACATTCTTGAAGAATTTGCGTCTTACTAGTGTTTATCTACATAGCAGATCCATTAATCTCAAGACACCAGTGCATAATCATATTGTCAGCCATTCAAATTTTCTTCTATAACCTAGGAAAAACTGAAGCATCACATAATGAGGCATGCCTGAATTGTTTGTCCATCATCCTAAAATATCCATGTTTTATGCTCAGGCAACACTACTTTCATCGAGTAAATGTATTTCAAGTATAATTTTTCCAATCTTGCCACCATATCAGCTATTGGTTGGAGTTGGACAAAAAAAAATGCTCACATCTAGACCAACTATTGTTTCCAGCTAAGTGATGCAAACAAGCATATCACTGCTGCATACCATATGCATTCCCGTTAGTGCGTTGTAAAGCAAGGCAATCCATATTCCAGTCCAGTGACAGTCCACGAATTGCTAAGTAATCCACCGGCCTATTCTTTCAGTTTTGGAATCAGAAGCAACCCAGTTACCCCATGCTTGTTAGGAGTCGCCAGGAAAAAAATAAAAAAATAAAAAAAATTATGGAATTGGACATGTCATTTCAATTTTTCTTTCTTTCTTTTCTTCTTCTTTTACATAAGTTCAAGAACAAATTAGAAGAGAAAAAGAATAACACCACGAACAAGAAGAAAATATATCGTAAGAACCATAAAACTTTTGGAATCCCCACATTTTTATAATTAAGGAAAAATGCATTTTACCCCTATGTTGGTATGGTCCGGTAGCACTGCACCCTTGTTTTTAAAAAGGCCACATACCCCCATGCGGTTTTGACCAAAATACAATACTTGACTTACCCTCTTATCACTACAAGAAAGGTCACTTTTGGCTATCAAAATATTAGTTGCCAAAAGTCAGAAATTTGGTCATTGAAACGATTTAGCGACTAAAAGGTTTTGTTGCCAAGTTCATCGCCTATATCCTGTCGGCGATAGTATTGGCGACTAAACTTTATTTGATCGCCAAAAGTGTAACATTTGTCTACTAAACTTCTTTTGGTCGGCAAATGTTAGCTTTTCACCACTAAAACCAGTAGTCGCCAAATGTGACTTTTGGCTACTAACATTCGTGTGGTCGGGGAAGGTGTTACTTTTTGCTACGAAAGAATTAGTCACCGAAAGTTAACAGTTGGCTATGAATCCGTACTTAGTCGGCAAACGTGACATTTCGGCCACTAATTTTTTAGTCACTAAAAGTTCTACATGAAAATTTTAACCAACTATTAGAGACTAAATATTTCTTTCTCTCATTCTCAATTGTTTTAGCTGCTAACTATTTAGTCACAAAAAATTTTTTTGTTTTGTTTTTGCTACTAAATTATTAGTCACCAAAACATTTGATTACATATTTGGCTACCAAAATATTTGGTGGCCAAATACTTTTTGTTTTTGTTTTTTTTTTTTTTAAGAAAAAAATTCTAAACAACCTGTATCCATTTTTAGTACAACTTGTATCATGTATAACCAATATAATCCATCAACACTAAATATATTATCAACCATTCAAGCATTCAACAATGTGCACACATTTTAGCTCCAACCATCCAAAACATTAATATTGAACGTCCAATTCTATATATAATACAAATTCCATACGAACCAAGTCTAATCCAACGTCAATAATTTCATTTCATACATAATACAGGACTAACCAAATTAATTAACAAAAAGGACATATGTACCACAACCTAAATTAGCATATATGCTAATTTCTACCATGCCAAATTAGCTTATATTTACCACACCAAAAAAGTAATTTGTACAAACCACTATATATACGGGTAGACGTATAAAAACAATGCCCTTCCGTACTTGTCAAAAAAAATCATATCCACATTTGTATGTCTAAAACCATCTGCAAATAAAAAAAAATATCAAAAGTTATGTTTATGGCAATTAAAGGGGCCACAATCAACAAAAGCAATAAACAATTTTCCCAAAATATAACTGTACATAAACTAATAAGGAAAGAGTTAAACAAACTATAGTTTAAGATGGTAGTACCAAAATAGTTGCCCACGACATGGGCATTTCATGTTCTACCACATATAGATGAGAATTCTTTCTTGGATTTGATCGAAAAAAATTTCAAAAATATATAGATGATAATATAAAAAATTTCAAAAATATAAAAATTTCAATGGTAGTATTAGGGCATATACGATGTATTTTTATATATATGTATTTATATATAGATGATAATATTTTAATTTCAAAAATGCTTAATATCTCTCAAGTTGAACATAAGCAAATTTTGCTGCTATTTGCAACAAATCATTGCCAAAGAGATTGATTGTATGAACCATTAGCATAAAATTTCAAGGACTTTTTTCTTAATAAATCAAAGGAGTGATTTCTTAAGATTAATTACATACCATAGTGGAGCAAATGTAGACGACAAATCAAGAAAAGGATATGGCCACCTGTTGCAAATAGTTACAGTTATAGGCAATTAGAAGTGAGATTTTTGTAATAAAAAGAAAAAAGTGTTAAAAGGGAGACGAGTTTACCAAAGCGAAACGCAAGCATGCACGATCCATTTTAAAATGTACTTAAATAGCAGTCCACAGGAAAAAGTATGCAATTCGAAGCCAAAAGAACCGTTGGAAGAGAAAGACAAGGCTAAAAGATTAAATTGTTAAGCAAAATAGGAATTGAAATCAAGATAAAAGAACTGCAACATACCAAGCAATTCAAAGCAGTGTCGCCGAGCAGAAAAACAGCATTGATGGTATGCATATTTATAATCAACTGCCACGTCAAAGATTAAGCACACTGTTTAGAAGACAAACAGAAGTTTTGATGATGAATCTTATGGATTTGCATGACATCAACTTTGCACCATATGGATTTTACTCAAGGAAGCTAAACGATTTAGAAATTGACACATAAGAGGTTGATTTCATGTAGTTATATGTATATATATATCTAATGATATTAAAAGTTTTATGTTATTGAAACAGAAAATACCCTGCATCTATGAGACTACATAACCCTATGCTAAATTATGCAAAAATGTTGCTTTGATACAATCTGTCGTATAGTTATAGTTGCACAATTTAACTAGGTGTGGATTTTATTACTTACAAAATTCAAATCGTAATCTTTGATTGCTAGAAACAGTACAATTATGAACCAAAAGACGCAGTCCGTGAGCATCACCGCACCTGCATTTATCTATTGAAGAGAAAAATAAAAGGTCAATAACTATGTGCAACAAGGCTATTATGTTTCTTATTTTGTGCTTAATTAATCAATTTATTATTTTTCTTTTTCAATATTGAGCTGAATGGAACTTTATCCAACCACTTGGGATTATCTACATGAATCATATTTTTCCATTTCATGCAATTCTGAATTAAATCACTAGCTGAAGCATCTTTTCTTTTTAACACATTATAATCTTAGTAAATCAATATCTTCATTCTGAAATAGGAAAAAACTATGATACAATTACTGGCTTTTAGGGGTTTACCTGGAAAACTATTTGAAAGATATAACCCCAAAATCTTGCAGTTTGGCGAACTTGATGTTCTTGATTGGATTCCAAGTGTTTTTTCCCATTGGATTCATTTGAATTAGTGCCTTGCTCGACATCAAAATCCTCGGTTCTATCGCCACCAACTTTATTATGATATTGGTAGCATCCATACATAGAAAGCAATGATCCAAGCTACAAGTGCAGTTATGCAAGTGACGTCCATGAGCAATGACATATAAAAAGAAATCGATTCAAGCATAAATCTAGAGTGATATGTGTTGTATAAATTTAGGGGGGGGGGGAAGAATCATATAGAAGGATGTATAGCATACCCCAAAATATATGGTTATTAGTGAAAAAGTCCACATGTCCAATATCCAATTTCACCAATTAAATCCTATGATAAACAATGATGAAATTAAACCACATGTAATAAACTTAATATTGTCATTAAAAATAAATAAATAAAAACTACCTTGATGTGATGCATATTCTAATATTTAACCTATTTTATGCTATCATTCTACTCAAGTATTCTTTTGACTCTGTCTCAATAAAGAAAAAGAAAAGAGAGAAAAAGAGAGAAATCTCCTTTTAACCTTTTTTTTTTCTTTCTTTTCTTTAATTCGCCAAAGCAAACTCATAGTGAATCCAAAGCACAATTTTGTAGTATATCATAATTGTTCTATAAAATTATTTAATTAGCAAAAGCTTCCATCTCCGTTATGTGAAAATCTACAAGTTGATTTCATTTCCAATGATGCTAAAATGAAAATACCCTTTACAAGAAATGCTATTGGTTAAATGTATAAGAGAGAGTTTGATAAAAGTAGGATCTGTCTATACTTTTGACAATCATGTTAAACCAATCAATCAATTTCAATCTCCCCTTCAACTATATGCAAGACTTTGTAATGAATGAGATAAAAACCAATAAAAAGGGACTACTTACTGAGTATAGAAGTAAATAAAACAATGATGAATATGATGAGTCTAAGTTGTACAGAAACTTGGGTAGTCCACAAGATAACCCTAGAAGGCAAACAAGATGTTCAAGTTTTCCCTTAATAAACTATTGGAGAAGACACACAAAATAGATTACAGTGGCAATGCAGTTTGTTGATAAATTTCACAACAACATAATGGGTAAAGATTAACACAATCGAGTAATTGAAATCAAGTGTTGACTAAATAAAGTTGAACATACCCTGCATTTCACCTCAGTATGCAACTGTCACAATTCTTTGAAGCATATTTACAAACAGATAATGAGCTCATATGCTTTGCACACATATTAAGCTAAAGAACCAACACAATTGCCTTAACAGCTAAACTTAACACTGCCCACAGTAGATGTAAGGTTCATATATGAAAGTTGAACATTGCCGGCATTTCACCTTATTACACAACTGGAACAATTCATTGAAGCATATAAACAAACAGATAGTGAGCATAGATTCTTTGCACTCTTTTAACATAAAAAGAGCCAACACCATTGCATTGCCTAACAAGCTAAAATAAACACTGCCCACCATAAATATATACGCCATATATAAATGAAGAGAAAAGAGAGACCTCGAGAGCGCGTTTGTTGAAATGGAGCTTCCTTAAGCGGTTGATGGTGTGAAAGACATGGCCTCTGTGAATGGGAAATCCGTCACCCATCCAGCTCTGGAAGGCAGACCCAATAGGCTCTGTTCTTGGGAGCTTCTCAATCCTCCAACACAAACTCTTTGGTTATTCTTCTTCTTCTTCTCTTCCTCCTTCGTGGATCGAAATTGAAGTCTCATTCTTAGATGAATAATGATTATGAGGGAGGAGGGTGGAGAAGCTGAAACTTGAAGAATGGAATTGGGTAGCGGCAGAGAGAGAGATTGAAATGGTTCCATGTATTACGACTCTAAAGACCCTCCTCCTCTCAAACTCAAACAAAAGGGCCACTGCTTTCATGCTTACCAATCACCTAAACAATAGCCATCATCATGGGACTAATATTAATATGAAGTCAAGTACTATCATTAAAACCATAATAATAAGAAAAAGGGTAAATTACATTTATGATGAGTCTAGAGATAATTTCAGAGAGATCAAAGAAGACTAAAGAGAAAGGAAATGGTGGAATCGCATACGCAGATCCTTGGTCGTAGACGTCGATGGAAGCGAAGACACGTTCGACACCAGACTTGAGCCTGGTGAGAGTGGCCTTCTTGTGTCCGAGCTCGCCAGTGTCAAGAACAGAGCTGCAAATGAAAGAAGAAAACCCTAGCGGCTGAAATTAGGGGAAGAGAGACTGAAAGATAGAGAGAAGGAAAAATAGAGAGAGGACATACCTGGGGCAATGCTCCAATGGTGGATTGACGGTGGTGATCGTGCGCGATGGCAGTGATGCTCCCGTACCCGACGACGATGGAGACAAAGGCGAGAGAGAGAGAGCTGGAGGAGGGCAGAGGCTTGAGAGAGTGAGAAAGAGAGAGAGAGAGAGTCACAGAGTAAGAGACAGACAAACATACGAGAGTCTGAGCGTATGGAAGTGTATTTTTTAAACCTAGTTTATTTTCTTTCCCAAACAATTTTTGTAGTCGCCAATTAATAAAGACGTTTTTCCGACTAACGACTTTAGTAGTCAATTAATTTTCCCTCTGAAATTTGAAGTCCAATTTTTAAAATTTTCAATTATGATCGCCGACTAAAATTTAGTTGCTAAAAGTAAATTAATACTGCCTAAATTATTTTTAGTAGCTAAAGATTATACATTAGGGACCAAAATTTTTTTAGTCGCCTATAGGGTAATTTTTTAGCAACTAAGTCATTTTTAGTCGCCTATTGAGTAACATTTTAGCTACTAATTGTATTTTAGTCGCCTATTGTGCTATTTTTAGCGACTAACTGTTGTTTAGTCGCTAATTGGGTCACTTTTTAGCTACTAATTGTATTTTAGTCACCTATTGGGCTATTTTTAGCGACTAACTATTTTTCAGTCGCTGATTGGGTCATTGTTTAGCTACTAATTGTGTTTTAGTCTCCAATAAGTAATACACGGCTACTAAAAAATTTTAGTAGCTAAAAGATGAAACATTGCTGACCAATTCAAATTTTAGTCGCCAAAAGGTTGACTTTTGGCGACTAAATTAATTTTAGTAGCCAAATTTGGTCATCAAAAGTGTAATTTCTTGTACTGTATTAAAAATGAGTTTACCATTAACTCTGAGTCAACTCACTGAAGTCCACAAAACCACCTTGGATTAAAACCACAATACCTAATACAAGATCAAAATCAAACACGTAATGTATCTTTCGAATATATATTCCATGTATGTATCTATAAATATATAGGGAAATTCTATAATACAACCCCCAAAAAAGGAGTGTACCATATGCCCAGTTATGACTTTTGTGATATTTGGTTATGGCCAATTGTGGTACTAGTTATGACTTCGTTATGACTTATTATGGTATTGGTTATTATGACTTTGTTATTATCTATTGTGTTTGTTATTTTGGTTATGACTGAAGAGGTCTTTAGTTATACCTTAAGTGGTGTTTGGTTATGACCAATTTCGATGTTGGTTATGACCGAAGAGGTCTTTGGTTATGCCTCAAGTGGTGTTTAGTTATGACCAATTTTGATATTCGTTATGGCTTTGTTATGACTCATTGTGGTGTTGGTTACGACTTTGTTATGATCTATTATGGTTTTTATTTTGGTTGTGACCGAAGAGGTCTTTGGTTATGCGTTTAAGTAGTGTTTAGTTTATGACCCACTATGGTTCTTTAGTTATGACTAGAAGTGAGTTATGACACTTTGTGGTATTAACACCACAAATTGTTATAATTAGGGATGTAATCGGTTTGGTTCGATACGGTCAGTATTTAGGTAAAAAATTTCATCAAATCGACAATGTCGGCTTTATTATTTTGAATACCGATACAGACCTTTTCTCCCATCAAACTACACCGAATTGAACCGATTGAAATGGTTTGGTTCCTGTTCAATTTAATCGATTTATGACTTTTCAAACTTAAACCACTTTTTAATATAGTCACTAATTTATATAAAAACATTGAACACCACTCCAAACATATCCAATCCATACATTTAATAAATACTTTCCAATTCTTAAATTAACAAAAATATAAACAAACAAAAAAAATTAAAAAAATACTAAGACTTCAAGAATAATGAGTTAGAGTTAAAATTATATATAATAAGAATTTATAATCTTAGGTTATAGAGATGATAAGATTAATTAATTAAGGTTAATCATTTATTATACTTATTAATATCATTATATTATTAAATTACATATATATATATATATATATATATTAAATACAATATATGTTAAACCGGTCGGTTTCGATGTAATTCGGCGTACAAGGTTCTTGAACAGATACTAAACCGAAAACTAAAAAAATCAAATTAAAAAACCGCACAAACCAATTCTTATTAAAAAAATAGACCAAATATAGCCGATTTGGTCCGGTTCAATTGGTTTAGTTGATTTTTTCGTTTTTTCTTACATCCCTAGTGATAACTTGCATATGGTACACACCCCAAAAAGGAGTGTGTGGAAAATATCACTTACTCATTTCTTGAAAATATCAGTGATCCTTGATCACTTATTTATACAACTTCTCATATACAACAGATATGTATCTAATATCCTAACTAACTAATCTAACTATTTTACATGTGTGTTAACAACTTAATAACTAGTAACAGATTGTCTAACAGATTCTCTAACCACCATAGGTGTAGTTAGTAAAGCAGTTGAGCTGCATGGTAATCTTGAACTGATAGAACTCTTCTTCTTGAACTGATTGAGCTGAGGACTAAACTGAGTAGGTACAGGTGCAAGTTCTGAACTGGAGCTGAGCTAAATAGGTAACTCTGCAGAGTTAGTATCCTTAACATCCTCTTGCAAGCGAATAAGGCAAGAAGGACACAACATGAGCTTGGCTTTAAGATACAAAAATTGAGAAACAGAGAGTCGCTTAGTGAAGATGTCAGCCAGCTGATCAATATTAGGAATGTACTGAAGAAGCAGCTTCTTAGCCATAACTTGATCATGCACGAAATGGCAATATACCTCAATGTGTTTAGAGCGTGAATGAAAAACAGGGTTGCAGGCTAAGGCAATTGCAGAAACATTATCACACCAAAGTGTAGGAAGCACATGAGAGACAACAGATAAATCTTGAAGAAGCATGCCAATCCAAGCTAACTCTGTTGCAATATAAGCAAGAGACCTATACTCTGCCTCAGTAGAAGATCTGGAAATGGTTAGTTGCTTTTTAGCTGACCAAGAGGCAAGATTACTACCCAAAAAAATGCAGTAGCCTGAAGTCGATTTACGGTTAATAATATCTCCAGCCCATTTTGAATCAAAGAATGCATGAACATAAAAGGAACTAGGGGAACAAGATAGACCATGAGTAAGAGTGCCTTTGACAAACGAAGCAACCTCTTCACAGTAGCAAAATGACCAACTGTGGGTGAATGTATATGTTGGCAAGACTGATTTACTACTAAGGAAATGTCAGGTCTAGTAATGGTAAGATACTGAAAAGCCCCAACCAGACTACGATAAAGAACAGGATCAGAAAATGAATGATCAGCATTGGGAGGAAGAGTTGGCTTGACAGAGATGGGAGATGAGCACGGCTTACAGTCAGCTAGACCTACTTTCTTGAGAATGTCTTGTACATATTTGGTTTGAGATAAAACATAGCCTGAAGCAGTGGTGGTGATGGAAATACCAAGAAAGTAAGATAGGTTCCCCAGTTCTTTCATGGAAAAAGCTGTGTGCATATGACAGATAAGGGACTGAATATAAGAAGGATTATTGCCTGTAAGCAATTTATCATCAACATATACTAAAAGAATAGTAATATTTGAGCCCAATTTCTGAATAAACAAGGAAGAGTCACACTTTCTATTGGAAAATCCTTAAGAGAGTAGATAGGTTGAAAATGTTGAGTACCAGGCTCTAGGGGCCTGTTTTAGACCATATAGAGCTTTTTTTAGATGACAGACATGGTGAGGATGAGCTGAATCAACAAACCCAGGTGGCTGGAGCATAAACACCTCTTCTTCTAGTATGCCATGCAAGAAAGCATTGGATATATCTAACTGTTTCAAGGGCCAACCATGATGAAGAGCCAAGCAAATCAAAATTCTGATAGTGGGAAGTTTTGCCACTGGGCTGAAAGTTTCTTGAAAATCAACCCCTTCTTGTTGAAGATAACCCTTGGCAACAAGTCGAGCCTTATGCCTAGCAATAGTACCATCTAAATTTCTTTTAACTCGAAATGCCCACTTGCAACCAATAGCATTTTTAGCTAGAGGCAAAGAAACCAAGGACCAAGTCTTTTGCTTATGTAAGGCATCAATTTCATCAGTCATTGCTTTATGCCAAATATGAGAATGAAGAGCTTCCTTATATGAAGGAGGTTCGATATCAGAATAAAGAGGAGCAGAGGTAATAGAAGGTTGTTGAGAATTAGTATGAATCAAACAATGTGAAGAAGACTTAGATTGAGTAACCATGGGATGGACATTAGAGGAACAAGGAGGAGGAATAGGCAAATCAATGGAAACAGAGGAAATGGGAATGGGTACAGGTGCAAGAGAAGAATTAGAAGGTGCAACAGGTGGAGAAGAAATAGGAGAATGAAACTGAGAAGAACTAGCAGTAGCCTGATTGGAAGTAGGACTGCTGGAAGTAGGAACAACAGCAAAAATGGGAGCAGCAACAGAAATAGAGGGAGAAACAGATGGAGACATGTTAGAAAAAGAAGAATTAGATGTAGGAAGATTAGATGAAGACACAACAGACCAAAAGAAGGACTGAAGCTCAGGTAAAGAAAGAACAGAATCAGAGGAAAATGATGTAGCAAAAGGAAAAACAAATTCATTAAAAATGATGTCTTGAAAGATAAAATTTTCCAGTAGTAATGTCAAAATGTCTGTAACCTTTAGCAAAAGGATAATAACCAAGAAATACGCAAGGAAGAGATTTAGGATGGAGCTTATGAGAGGAATATTGTGGAAGCCAAGGATAACAAAGACAACCAAACACTTTAAGAAATAAATAATCATGAACTTGATGAAACAAGATCTCAAATGGAGTCTTATGATTTCATTGAGTGGAAGGAAGTCTGTTAATCAAGTGAGTGGCTGTAGCTATGGCCTCAAACCAAAATTTGAGAGGGACAGAAAAGTGATGAAGTAAAGAGAAAACAGTCTCTGTGATATGTCTATGCTTTCTCTCAGCTGTGCCATTTTGTGGTGGAGTGTAAGGACAAGAATGTTGATGGACAATACCATGAGTCAAAATAAAATTTTTCATTTTAGCATTACAATACTCAGTATGACCATCAGTTCAAAGAATTTTCAAAACAGTCTCAAATTGTTTCTCAGCATAGGCTTTAAACTCTAAGAATTTATCATACACTTCACTTTTGTAAGTCAATGGATATAACCAAGTAAACTTAATGAATTCACCAACAAAAAGAACAT